AGAGAGAGAGAGAGAGAGAGAGAGAGAGAGAGAGAGAGAGAGAGAGAGAGAGAGAGAGAGAGAGAGAGAGAGAGAGAGAGGACGGGCCATTGACTTGATTTCGTGATAGCCAATTATAGCTTACAAAATTTCACACCAACTCTTCCTGCTGCTACGAAGCAAACAGTGGCTCCTCGACATCGATTTTCAGAAAACCAACGGCAATCCCATCTCCATATCTCCATATCTCCATCTCCACCTCCAACCTGTTGACCGTTAAACTTTTGAAAGCTTGCCGTACAGTTGATTGACCACGTCTTCGAACTAGCGTACAGGGTTTCACACATACTCGAGTACTCTTCCTGCGCCGAAGGCAAAGGGCAGAGTTCCTTGCTCGAAACTTCACCCATCAAGGAAGGGGAATTGCATCTCCCCCTGGAAACTGCTGACTATTAAAACACCTCCTTGCCATACAGTTGAAAAATAACCACAGGGGCAACATCAGTTAAAAAATAACCACAGGGAGCAAAGGTAGTTGACTACAGGGCGCAAAGGCAGCCATGCCGTAAAATACACATGACAACAGGTGTCATATCGCTGAGCCAAGCTCCAAAATTCCATACTTCATCCTCCAATCACTCGCTACAGCGGTCCTGATCTTTGCTCCAGTCCTGATTAGTTGCAGTATAGTTAACCACAGAGGGCACAGGTTGCAGAATAGTTAACCACGGGGGGGGCAAGCGGCAGTATAGTTAACCACAAGGGGGACCGGCGGCAGTATAGTTAACTACAGGGGGCACAGGTGGCAGTATAGTTAACCACAGGAGGGACAGGCGGCAGCATAGTTAAGCACAGCAGGGACAGCGGCAGCATAGTTAAGCACAGCAGGGACAGGCGGCAGTATAGTTAACAACAGAGGGCATATGCAGCAGCAGTACATACGCCTGACAACAGTGTCATACCGTCAAGCTATGAGACAAAATTCCATGCTTCATCCTACCTACCCACAATTATCATGCAAGTCCTCCCTCACCACATTCCAGGTCCTGATAGACAGAGATGAGAAGAGGCGGCGATCAACATTCGGGTCCTTTTTGCATCCAGATCGGAGGAAGAACGCGTCCGTTCTGCGACTCGCTACAGACTCTTCGTTTGAGATCGTTGGCCCCTCCGCCGTCTTCATCATGTCTTGACGATGTCAACCCGAGAAGGAACTGATAGCTTGAGAGCAGGGACAGGGAGCGGGACCGGGACAGGCATAGCGCTGACAAAGCCAAGCTATGCTGAGGCGGCCAGGAGCGATGACAGTTTCAGCTCTCTCAGCTGACTAACATTCACACGAATCGACGGGCCCATTGTTGTGCAAATATAGATGGTCTTCCAGTACTGCCCTTTTGCGCCAGACGGCTTGTTACTCTCAATCGAGTTCTGCAACAAGGAGTTTTTTTTTTGTTTCCACAAAAGGGAAAAACAACAGAGAAAAAAACAGCGCACCACCGAGATTGTCAGACACCATTCAAACATATGAGGGGAAAAAACTTTAAAAAAGTGACATTGACAAGATGATACAATAGGGCCCTTCTTTTTTTTCTCTTTTCTTTTCTTTTTTAACATAGGTGTAAGGACCTGCCAAACACGGACTGCGACACAGAGCTCATTCTCGAGTTTTGCCAATGGAATGTATGCCTTGCTGAGTTTCCCGCTTGTTGTGAGTTTTCTAAGTGTGTGTGTGTGTGCGTGCTTGCTGGTCTGCCTGCCTGTCTGAGTGTTTGTCGGTTTGAGTGCGTGTGTGACCCGCAAAGGTACTTGTTCGTTCAGGGGGCCCAAAGGGCCGGTACTTGCCCGTGGTCGTGACATTGATGGTTGCAGCAGGGAAAACACTCAAGTGGCCGGCAAGAGGCCCGCGGCACTTGAGAGCAGCGGAGAAACACTCCAGTAGCAGGTCGGCCGGTACCACACCAAGTAGCGGTAGATGTGTCGGGTACTCGAGGCCAAGCAGAAGAAGACAAAAGTTCGCATTTTTAGAGGCCCAGTAGTTGTAGGCTAGGTCTAGGCGGGTACCAGTCCACGTAGTCTAAGGCCTGCACGGGCAATAACAGAGTCTCCAATGATGTTTCCTCCGAAAAGTAGTCTGAGTCTAAGGCCTGTACGGGCAATATCAGAGTCTGCAATGATGTTTCGCTCGGAAAGGGAGGAGATACCGGTTGCTTGGAGGCCGTGCGGCCTGGAAGTCACCGCCCAAGAGGCAAGCAGACTGCTATATCTCCAGGAGGAGTGAAGTGCTCCTCGTTCACAGCTGGAGCTCTGGCTGGAGCAGCGCTGCTATGGAAGGAAGAACGCCCAGCTCCCCCCACCTTGGCTATGGTGAAGGAGTTCAGGCTGGAGAAGGAGGAAGCCGAGGACTAGGAAGGCAGCACCAGAGGTACTTACCTGGCTATGGTGGGCGCTGCATCTGGAAGGCCCCAGTGGGGGTAGAGCTACATCAAGAAGCTTTGAGGCAGAGTCAGGCATGGCGGCCTGAGTGGAAGCAGCCATAGCTGCTTTGTGTTGTCCTTTGCACATCAGGGAAAGGCCCTGGTCGTCCGCCATAGCCTCAGCCTGGAGGAAGAAGGAAGAGGGAGATGGCCATGGGTATGGTGGACATCACATTGTGTCAGCAGTAGAAGAGGGACTCGGACATTGATTCTGGTTCGACCATTCATCGTCATCATTATTATCGACTATTTGAATAAAGAGAGGAGGAGAAATGGAGGAGGAGACTGGGTGGTAAGAAAAGGGAATTATCATTAGTCTTTGCTGGTGTACATCTTCTTCTTCTTCTTCTTCTTTTTCTTTCTTCTTCTTCTTCTTCTTCTTCTTTCCCTCTCTCACCTCTCAAGTTCATTCATTTCTTTTTGCAATTGGGCGGCATTTTGCTTTCTCATGAATGTGTACTTCGAAATTGGCCAGGATCATAACATAGGGAAAAATATGCAGGAAGGGGGTCGTCGGCAAGGGGACAAAAAGCACACCAAATAGGGCATACAACACAAAGGAGGTTGACGCCGGTTGAGTAACCCCGAGACAGCGGCATTAAGTGCTTCCACTTCTGGAAAGACGAACCAACACTACACCCCTGTTCCTTTTGTCCTTTTCTAGTCCACATATCCTATAGGGATGAAAGCCCTCTCCCTTCAGACCAATAGCTCCTCAAAAAAGTCTGTACTAACTAGGAAAGTGCTTCCAGTCTTATTCATTAAAGCGCTATTATTATGATTTTTACCAGCCAGCACAGGCCCCCAGCCTAGCTGAAAATGCAACTTGTCGCCTACGAAATTTTCGGAGGCTCAGCCTACCGGACCACAATGGCTGGCAGCCCCAGACAAACAAGAAAAAAAGTGCGCCGCTGGCGGTCCGGAAAAGCTTGGCGCGCAGTAATGCGCCTCCATGTCCGGGTGTAGTGGTGGTTTAAGACCGGCACTACCTCCGAGCCTCTTTTGCCGAGGCGGAAAAGAACTGTGCGCCAAGCTTGCTGAAGCACCGGCACAATTATTTTTTGTGGGTTTTGGCTGGCGCCACCAGTCATTTTCGTCTGGTGGCGCGCCCGCCCTCCAAAGAATGAGGTATAGGTTATACAGCTTATAGCTCTATACTGCATTCTTAGTTTTGCCTGTGAAAGGTAGTGGTGGTTTAAATAAGAGAGAAAAAGAAAAAAGAGAGAGATTGAGTAAGTTCGAAGACGCACAGTACATCTACTTAGGACATGCAGATGGAAGTTGACCCCAATGGTGAATCGAAAGGAAATCATTACAACTGCAGTATGAACCATGGTTACGCTGGACCCTCACCCGGGATTGATCCGGACATCCAGCAGAAGTCACCCAACCGGACATCAAGACAAGGATGTTTTCAATTAAAAAAAATAATTAAAAAAATAATAATAAAGACACGGACTGTCCAGATTATCGGCCAGGTGTGTGGATGTCTCCTGATGCCAAAGAAAAGAAAGAAAGAAAGAAGTCCTTTCGGGACATCCGTTAAAATTGGAACGATACAGAGAAGATTAGAGTGCCCCCTAGGCAAGGATGACACACAGAGATCAAGAAATGGTCCAATTTTTTTTTTTCAAGAAAAGAAAAAAGAAAGAAAGAAAGAAAGAAAGAAAGAAAGAAAGAAATGCAATTCCGGGACACTTCTAGAATTCTTGCGTGCAACGGTACGAGCCGTCATGCTGAGGCTGAGGTGTAACAACGCCCCGGCACGACGACCCAGCAGCCCACACACTATTCCATGCACTACGGAACAGTGTGAGGGCTGCTGGGATGTTACATACTCCAATGAGTATGGCAGAACCAAG